CATTAAAGTTCACAAAAAAGGTTCCTTAAGTGGCTTTTAACTTACATACTTTATTTCTACAAACAATTTGATCTTATGAGCTTACTGGAAGGTACTTCACTGCTTTCTGTCTGTAATTCTCTGTATCTAAGTCACTTCAAGCCCTGCCCCTTTTCAAACTGTTTAATCCTATTCTTTACTGCTAGAGCCTATAATTTCCAAAAATATGAGCATTTAGTTATCTTCAGAAGCTATTTCACACAGTATTCCTAGAGATAAAATGATGAAAACTTAAAGTGTCCAACGAAGGGACCACAATGCACATTCCTGGTTTTAAAACTGTTTAAACTTTTTTCTAAAAGCTTACACAGCAGCTTGAATATAACCACTATTCAATGAATGTTTGCTGAACTGAGAATGTTTCTGCTAAACTCTATTTTGCTTTCTGACATACGAGAGAAGGCACTGTCTTTAGCTTATACCTAACATTATCCACATTTCAGCACTATGCAGCAGAAATGCTTTGTCAAGCATATTTTCTCAAATCTGTCCAGAAGACTCCTACTGAAAAGTTGGCTGCATACTGCAGTATATTTAACTAGGTGCTCTGAACTGCTTACTATACTCACCTAAGGAATGCCTTTGTCCCCTCTCTGCAGTGATTACATAGAGATAAAAGTGAATTAATTGAAATACTTTTATTTAGCATGCAAAACCAATAACTAACTCTAATTCATGAATATTAAAACATCCACAGGAAAACAAAATCCTAGAAGTGAATTATTAAGAATTACTTTCAGTCTGGGCACAGTAGCTCACGCCTATAGTCCCAACACGTTGGGAGAGCAAGGAGGGTGAATCACCAGTGGTCAGCAGTTCGAACTGGCCTGGCCAACATGGCGAAATGACATCTCTACTAAAAATACAAAAATTAGCCAGGCATGGTGACACATGCCTATAATCTTAGCTACTTAGGAGGCTGAGGCAGGAGAATTGCTTGAACCCAGGAGGTGGAGGTTGCAGTGAGCAGACATCATGCCACTGTACTCCAGCCTGGGCGACTGAATGAGACTGTGTCCCAGGAAAAAAAGAAAGAATTACTTTTAAAACCTGTAAAATTTAAATTATAATTAAAGGCGTTAATGTAAATAGCATAAGTCTTTTTCATTTCTTATCTTTGCCTGCCCTCTAATTAATTATAGTTTACAAAATCAAACAACTGTCACATCATAACCCCTAATTCAACAAATGAAGTTCATTTTCTTATTTTTTTCTAAGGTAGTATCTAGCCCTCCCAGTTCCACAAGTAGCTAATGTTTTTCTTAAACAAAGAGTTTCTTTTTCTTTCATATTTAACATATTTCTTTATTGATTATATAATATCTGATATTTCAATTAGTTCTTATATATTTAAATCTTTCCTCATATTTTAATGCTTATTAAATGGGAAGCACTGATAGTGCTATTTATAGAGTGCACAAAACTTTGAAAAATAACTTATTCTCAAGCAATTCCTATTCACATCTCAAATTAACAATTGAAGATTCTTTGTGGAATTGATACTTTTACAATTTTAAGAAAAGTTTAGCAGTAATTTGAGTTTAGCAATAAAAAATACTAATTAAAAGTTAAATATTAAGTAACATTTTTGAATTAAACAAGCACCCAATATCAACAGTTATATAATTAAGTCTATACCAACACAATTTTTAAATTATGACTTTAGATCTTTAGACATTATTTCAGGAAGAAAGTCTCAGAAAATGAGAACATATGTTCAAATCCAGAGCTAGTTTCTTCAATACCAAGGGTAATCACCAATCTTTCACTGTAACAATTTAACATTGATTTTACAAATCCAGATTCTCAGAACTTATGTTAATTTTTAAAAATTGAATTCAAATCACTTCAAACTACCTATAAGCATTTTTACAAGACGTTCACTACAACCTTTGTGCTTACATGGCTGTAACCCAGAAAACTTGAGAGCTGAGGCATTTTCTGATTACTCTGGCTTTCTATAAAGAATAAGCATTATTCCAGCAGACAATTCCACAGCTCACAAAAACATTGGAGTCAGGAAATTCATATTAAATGACAGCTTAGTATGCTACTGCACATAATTATATGACAGTCTGTATTCAGTCATGTGTACATCTGACATTTACTGAGCCACCTGTCCTTTATCAGCCATTGCCCTTGAGAAGTTCATTATCTAAAGAGCAATAAGTCATGTAATTAGACATATTTTAATGCAACATGTAAGGTGATACAATGTGACATACATAAATTCCTCTGACCTACTCATTCTGACATACATATAATCTAGAACCCTGCTAACTAAAGCGTGGTCCATAAACCACCAGAATCGGCGTCACCTAGCAACTAGTCAGAAACAGAGAATCTCAAGTTCCACCCCAAAATCTACTGAATCACAATCACAATTACCTGGGGAACATTTTAACAAGCTCCTCAGATAACTCTAATGCACATTTAAATTTTGAGAAGCACTGAACTAGAACATAACTGAAAATCAGCAAAAGATGTCATAGAGTCCATGTACTTTTAAGATCTTCAAGGTCCATCCTGAGCCTTTTTAAGATTATATTTACAATTTTAACAAGTTCAAAGACTTAGTTTCACAGACTAGGAACAAACTGAGATACCACTGACAACAAAAAAAGAAAATAGGAAAAACTTTCAAAAAGCAATCTCAAAAAGGGATGGCTGTGTGGAGTCATTTAACATAGCAACAATTTGTCTAGATAGGCCCTAAAGGTCTCACCATATTACAATAACACAAAAGTAATCAGTGTTCTCAAACATGCCTCCTGTATCTAGACCATAAATTCCCTGAAGACAGAGACCTAGTTGTATCCTTAAATTACACTTACATTTGTAAACTGAATGACCCAAGTCATTAAGATGAGTTCGAGCTATGCAGGAAAATATATGATACATGATACATTTTAGAAAAAATTCCAGGCCGGGCGCAGTGGCTCATGCCTATAATCCCAGCACTTTGCAGGCCGAGGCAGGTGGATCACGAGGTCAAGAGATCGAGACCATCCTGGTCAACAAGGTGAAACCCCATCTCTACTAAAAATACAAAAATTAGCTGGGCATGGTGGTGCGCACCTGTAGTCCCAGCTACTCCAGAGGCTGAGGCAGGAGAATTGCTTGAACCCAGAAGGCGGAGGTTGCGGTGAGCCGAGATCGTGCTATTGCACTGCAGTCTGGGTAACAACAGCAAAACTCCTTGTCAAAAAAAAAAAGAAAGAAAGAAAGAAAGCGGGGGAGGGAGGGAAAGAAAAACAACAGGAAGGAAGGGAGGAAGGGAGGGAGGGTAAAACACCCAGATGGATGGGGTACACCTGTAGTTCCCAGCTATTCAGGAGTTTTGATGCCAGCCTGGGCAACATGAGCTCGTTTTTTAAAGCAAAGCAAAACAAAACAAAGAGTAAAGCACTCCCATTCTATAACCTATTCCCCAAGTACTCTAAGAACAGAGGCTTTACTGAACCTATAGTTCCCAATCCCAAAGTCTTCCTGACTTTATTCAAACTCTTCTGGTGGCTGATGAGGAGAGTGCAAGGAGAAAAAGGAGAAAAGATTAGAAGAGGATGGAGGGAAAATAGAAATCACTGACCATATCAGAGTTCCTCCACTCACAAAAATAAAACCAGCAAAAATACAAAGACACAGCAATCCTAAGAACAAATGCTATCTCTACAAAACATTTATTCCATGTCCTCTGCCCTGGTGAACCAGAGACATGCTGGCAAGCCCGCTAACCTAAGAACTCCCCAGAGACACCTTAAGTATAGAAACATTTCCCCTCATGGCCCTCAACGAGCTGATTACCGCCAGTTTATGAAACAATTCACTGTTCCAAGACAGCAAACTTAAGGCTATAGCCAGCTAGGTCACTTTCTGAAAAGTGTTGTAATGTCTGTCACTGATTTTTAAAAGGTTCCTTTAACTAGTTAAAAACTTTTTTACTATTTTCCAGAGCTATTTTTCTTTTTTCTCCCGCCATTCTTGCAGGATACTGGAAGCAAAAAGACCTATTTTTCGGCAACTTCTCTCCAACCAGGTAGTTCTCATTCTTACTCTCAAAACAAATTAATTCTCTTGTCTATGCCCTTGCTTATGCTGCTACTCCTCCTTTCCATCTCTTAATCTGATTCCGTACTATCTAATATAGTAGCCACAAGCTATGTGTGGATATTTAATATTTGAAATGTGGTTAGACCAAATTGAAACATAAGGTAGATGTAAAATGCACATTGGATTTTGAAGACCTGGCTCAAAAAAATGTAAAATTATCTAATTTTTTTAAACAATGATTACATGTTTAAATATGCTAAATAATTAGATTAAAATGATCTCACCTGTTTCTTGTTAGTTTTAAAGCTGCTACTAGAGAATTTTAAACTACAATATGTGGCTTCCATTAGACAGCACCGGGTTTCAATCCTACTCATTCTTCAAAGCCTAATTGAAACACAGCTGCTTTCATGAAGCTTACCCCCAGGGACTCCAACTGGAAGTGATTTGTGCCCACCCCCGACCGCCGACCTCCCGAAACACTTACAATCACACTCCCAAAGAATGAGATTAATCTTGTTACACCTCCTAAACTCCAACATAAGCAAGTTGAAGAAAAAAACTACATCTAGATCATCATGAAGTTTTCCTTGACACCTTGGAGAGCCCATACACTAAGGTAATGTTTGATGTCTGCTAACGGAGAGCTGAATTTCTCAATTATTAATTATATTTCCCTTTCAACGATAGCCACTATTTTCCTCTGGGATTAAAGTCAATGTCTATGAATGTCCTGTATTATTTTTAGAGTGCCCAAGAGCTGTACACATATAATGAACAAGCAAATCCAAAACTAATAAATGTGGCCAATACACTTAGATCAATTGTAAAACTTGGACAAGCCTCTAAAGGTTCCCTTTTTCAAATATGACGTTTTACAACATAACAGTGTGTTGTTAAGATCAACTATTTCAAAAGTAGAAGCGTTTCCCAAAGATTAACACTGGGTGAGCAGTTTACCAAAAAATTATTGACGGTCCTCCCCCACAATCCCGAGTATAAATCAGGTAAGCATGCAAACGCTTGGGTGCAGCAAGAGCAAAGTCCCACATTGCATCGAAAGCTCAGAAATCGAGCTGTGAGAAATGTAGCAAGGGAAAAGACGACTTGTGTGAAAGAGATGCATGATGAAAACTGTTGAAACGCAAAACGAGGTAACAGCCAGGATTTTTTTTTAAAAGTATCCCAACGACATGGAAGGGATCCTCCTTAGGTATATCGCTCAACCTCTGAACCCCCAGGCAAAGGTTGCAGTGGTCATTTTGTCTTTTCTTCAAATTGTATTTTAGTGCCTCAGATCTGCATCCAACAAACTTCCGTCTTCAGCCTACTCCAACTCCCACAGAAGGGACTCGGGCCAAAGTCAGCCCTGAAGCCACCCTCTCCAGCACACTTTGGAGACTGATGGACGACACGGGAGGACCGTTCTGAGGGCAAGCACCTGGATGACCCCAGTCTCTCGGGGAGTCTCGCTCCGGCCCGTTGGGCGGAACCAGGCAGGCTGGGGGCACCCGCAGGCAGAGGGGGCGGGGCAGGGCATCGGACTTCGCCCAGGACCAGCCTCTCCGTTCCATGCCGACGCCAGACGGCGCCTCGGGGACCGGCAAGATGCTGAGAAGCAAAAATAAAGGGGCACTGTGAATCAGCCCCGGTTTTCACTCACCAGACGTCGCCGCTCGACGTTGGCAGTGGCAGGACCTCTTCTCCTTCCGCCATTGCTGTTGACGTCCACGTCACTTTGCCGAAAAGTGGACCCGGCGCTAAGACGGACTCTGAGACCCAATGTCGTAAAAGGTCTTCGGAAGTCCAGCTAAGCTTTCCCAGAGGGGAAGAAAGAGGGAGGTGGCTAGGGACGGGAGGAACGCAACGTCACGGCGTCCCGAGGGCGAAAAGCAGCGTCTTGCGGGAGGAGACTTGGTGGAGGCAGCTGCCCCTCCAAAGACTACAGGTCCCATAATGCCGGGGTGCCGGGGGGGGGGGGGGGTGGGCGGAGCTCAGTGGGAGCCGGCCCAGTTAGAGGCCTTGCGTGGAAATAGCGTCGCTTTTTGGCGTCCAGCTAGCGTCTTCATTCCAGCTTGGCGTCAAAATTAACAAAGTTAGAATTTAGAGTCCTAACTATTGGAGAAAGGAAGGGAAATGGGAATTGACACAGAGAAGATGCACGTAGGTCCACAGTTCAGTAATTTCCTGCTGTAGGAATTCAATTTGAAAAAAGAATGGGATGTAAGGGCAGACCACCCTATTTGTGAGGCCCACATACTTTATGTCTAAGAATTTAAAAGTTTTAAATCAAGCTAAATAGTAAAGGAGATACGTTCTAGTCTCCTAACTTAAACATATCTTTCTAACAGCCTGGAAGATCAAGTCTGTATTTACAATTCTAGGACTGGAATTCCAGGCAAGGAGAGCTACCAAAATCCTCTTCCCGTTCCACTTACCCTTTACACCATATGGGTGGACGCTTGGCCACCGCTGGGGCCACGCTCAGGAGGATGGACCTAAGGAAATGCTTTTGCAAACCCTGAAAACAACAGTGATGAAGGAGAACGGTATGTAACAACATGGATACATCTGAAAAATGCACTGTTAAATGACCAAAACAGATGGCAGACGGATAGGTAAAGGATAGTATCATTTATATTTCGTGTTTAAAAGACAATATATTAGGAATAGATGCATATGAGCTTAAAATGCAGGGGAATGATATATAGAAAAATCGGAATGGCAGTTACATTCAGGGAAAGGGAGGGGTTTCCATTAAAATTTTAATATTTTATTTCTTAAGGGCCCAGAGGCGACCAATATTCTTTATAGAGTCTATACTTCGGTATCTAAAATGTTTCATATTTTTAAAAACGATTTTATTAAAATAAACACAAAACATAGCACAGCTATCTCATTTACAACCAAAAGCATGTTCGTTTACTCTCTTCCCCAAAGGGAAATAATACAGATCTGCATAGTAGTGCGTCCACTTCCAAGCCCCGAATCTCTGTGATGTTCAGTCCTTCGTTGGGGAACATTTCTTTTAACATAGAATGTGACTTTAGATGCCCTCTATCAAAAAGAATAAAAGACGTGAATCTAGGTCACATTACCATCCTAATATTCAGGACCTCCCCTGGGTCCCTTCAATTGTTGCCAGTAGGTTTTAAGAAAGTTTTTAGAAAATGGTTTTAAAAACTATTCAATCATGGACATGAGAAGCAGTTCTTCACTAGTTAAGATTCTAGTCCTCAATTGTGATTCATTTAAGTATAATTAAATCAGCAACTGCTTTATAGTCTCTGGTAAAAATATCTTCCCATTAAAAATATGTCACTTGACATTTTTAAACCGTTCTTTATTCTGTATAAGTTGAAAGTTCTGACTTCTATGTTCTTTAATAGAGCCAGAGCCACCTTCACCAGCATGTAGTCTATGCAATACTATAAGACCACGTGCTTAGAAGAACTCTGTGCTTGATTTAATGCTCTGGTGTTGCCATCTTTAAATTCTTACTAATTTGGGAACAAGGAATCACTGGTTTTAATTTTACACTAGGCCTCACAAATTAAGGAGCCAGTTCTAGATATGGTCAATGTCCTAATGATGTATAACCCACTGGGGACAAGATTTCAACTGAAACTGTTTAGTGATGGTATCTTCTGGGGGATTTGGATCATTTGTTCTTTTTTTTTTTTTTTTTTTTTTTTTGAGACAAAGTCTCACTCTGCACCTAGGCTGGAGGCTGGAGTACAGTGGCATGATCTTGGCTCACTGCAACCTCTGCCTCCTGGGTTCAAGTGATTCTCCCATCTCAGCCCCCTGAGTAGCCAGCACTACAGGCATGTCCCACCATGCCTGGCTAATTTTTATTATAATTTTAATAGAGACGGGGTTTTTCCATGTTGGCCAGGCTGGTCTCGAACTCCTAACCTCAGGTGATGCACCCACCTTGGCCTCCCAAAGTGCTGGGATAACAGATGTGAGCCACCACATCTGGCCTATTGGTTCTTCCTTCATCAGCCTGTCCAAGGTAATGATATTCAAGATCATGGTGACATCCTTTTTTCTCCAGTGATAATTCTAGAAATCTAGCTGTGAGGTCAAGTAGTACATGAAACTTGGAAGGCCTTTAACTCCTCTTTCTTTATTATTACTTTGTTTTTATTTTTCTGAGACAGGGTCTTACTCCCTCAAGTGAAATTTATTAAATTATAATAATGGACCTCTGCTTAAAACAAAACAAAAGGCCGGACACAGTGGCTCACACATGTAATCCCAGCACTTTGGGAGGCTGAGGTGGGTGGATCAGGAGATCGAGATCAGCCTGACCAACATGATAAAACCCCATCTCTACTAAAAATACAAAAATTAGCTGGATGTGGTGGTGCATGCCTGTAGTCCCAGCTACTCAGGAGGCTGAGGTGGGAGAATCACTTGAACCCAGGAGGCGGAGGGTGCAGTGAACTGAGATCGCACCACAGTACTCCAGCCTGGGTGACAGAGCAAGACTTTGTCTCAAAAAAAAAAAAAAAAAGAATACTTTTCAAGAACTAGAGAAGATTTAATTATGAACTCATCGGCTTGAATTTTTAAAATGATTTTTCTCTCCTAATTGTAAGATTTCATCAATGATACTAGGTGTTCCATCTTCTTTTGTATTTCTTTATGTCCCTCTGGAGCAGAGAGAGTTAGAATTTCTTTTTCTCATAGGCCTGGTGCTGTGCTAAGGTGATGCTCTAGTGGTGATCCCTGGATCTGTACACAATACAGCCATTCCAAGATGTATCTCCAAGAAAGGGGCATCCGAGTCTACATCATCCATGTCAGGTATGTCCCCTGCCTGCATTTATGCATCCAATTGCAATTCCCACATCCAAATGGGAAGGTATGGTACTATTCCATGTTATCCTTAGATAAAATCAAAGTGATTTCTTATAAAGGGAAAATTAAAATGTCTTGGTTTTAAATGAAATTGTAGAGAACATAAAAAGATTTTTCATCTATTATTTGGTGTTCTGTGCCATATAATTATGTAATTTATACTGTATTACATGTACTTAATTTCCACCATGCCTGTGACACATAATAGAATCTCCATAAATATTTGTAAAATGAGCTAGGGACTTTTTTGAAATACTTGTGTAATGGATTAAGCAATTCACCTATACAAAAATGGCTGGTTGGCATCAGAGACAGGTAAGGATTATGAACTCATCTGCATGGTCATAGTTGTTATGTGAGTAGAGTTTACTTCTATTTTCATTGTAATACTATTTTAGCATGTGTTAAAGAGAGATGGAGAAATGATTATAGCTCTTGATCATTTATTCCATATTCATACAACATTTTCTTGACTTTTGTCCATTTTTAGATGAAAACAAAGACCTAATAAGATGTTTTAATCTGCTGCTGCCCAACAAATTACACCAAAACTCTATGTCTTAAAGCAATAAACACTTAACTCACAGTTTCTGTGCATCAGGAAATTAGAAGCAGCTTAGCTAGATGTTCTGGCTTAGGGACTCTTGAGGTCAGAGGCAAGATATTGGCAAAGATTGCAGTCATGCAGTCATCTAAAGGCTTCAGTGGGACTGGAGGATCTAGTTCCATGGTGGCTCACTGACATGCCTGATGAGTTGGTGTTGACTGTTAGCAGGAAGCCTCAGAACCTCCCCAAATGAGCCTCTCCATGGGCTGTTTGAACATCCTCTTGACGTGGTGACTGGCTTCCCGCAGAGTAAGTGTTCAACAGAGACCAAGATTGAAGCTATAACATTTGTTTATTACCTACCCTCAGAAGTCGTAATTTCTGCAATATCTTATTGGTCAGCTTTGTTCAACATGGGAAGGAACCAAAGCAAAGGCTTGAATGCCCAAAGGCAAGAATCACTGGGGGTCATCTCAGAGGCTGGCTGCCACATGAAGTAATACTAAATCCTGCACATTCTTCACTGTCCAGTGAAACTTGCCCCTGAAATTCCTGCTCATATCATCTCAGCCCTTCTTACATTCTGTCACCTCTGACCTAGCGTACGATCATCAACACGCACTCTTATCTGGACACTGATTCATACAGCATCTTGTATTCTTGAACTCTGAGAATGACAAGTGTTTTTAAGTTCCTCTGTAGCCTCCACTGCACCAAATGCAGGACTGAACATGTAGATAGTGCCTAAGAGTTCTTGTTAAATAACAAAATGTTGATTTTCGTTTCTACAGCTATTGTGTGAGAATTTTAGAATTCTAAACTTTCCCAAGAATTTCCCTTTTATCTTAGAAGGACAAATGTTTTCAAAATTACTTCAGTTATTTGTCATTTTAAAATCCCATCAGGACCTGCATTCCCAGACTCTTTAAACTACTGAAGCTTAACATTTAATTGAATGATGAACAAAACCAAGTTAATTCCCATTCACAGATGACAAGTGAACAGTTGGCAGCAATTTCAACATGTGCTTTTAATTCATTTTAAAATGTTGAGCAAACTGATATTATAAAAAAGAGAGTTGGAAACTCTGTTTCTCCATTATCTGTCTAGTAGTTGTCTTCACTAATTGAAGTGGACTCTAAATAGGTAGACCCAAAGTAAACATTTGGATAGGGATTGACCAATTCTTAGGTTTGGGATGTTTGCACTTTAATGTAGGAGTCTGTTTAACCCTTCGCTCATTCCAATTTTGTTCCCAAGTGTTCCAGGCAAAAGGTTTTTTTGGGGGTGTAGTAATTCCTGGTTGGAAATAGGGATATTAAATAATATATTAGCTGGAACTAGCCTTAGTTTTTAAAACTTAACTTCTTGCTTTTTCATGAACTAACAGCTCTAAGGACACACACACACACACACACACACACAGAAGCACAATCTGAAAATAGTACCCTTTAGACAATGACAGTGCTATTCTTGATGTATAATTTATTTCCATTTGCCTCATATAGTTGTATTCATCCTTCCTTTTTGACATATGTATGTCTTGCCAAATAAAATCATTAGCAAGGAATCATCTAAGATAATTGGGTGGAATTACATGATACATGCTTTTAACAATGTGTATTAAAAATATAGGTATATGTTACAATTTCTCCAAATATGTTATTTACAAGCTGATTTCTCTAATACCCATACTAAATTGTTCAGCTTCTCACTGTTATTTTCACATCTAAAATTTGCATAAGAAAAATACAAAAGTAAACAAAAATAATTTTTAGCATATCATGAACATAAAAAGACTACAGATATAAAAGCATCCAAAAGTTTAAAGAATTTATTCTGTATAATTTTGCTCACACTTTTTTTCTGGACAATAATAAATTCTCTGTTGTTAATTCTTACCTATAATCTGATAAATCCTATATCTCCATTTTCAACCCACTATTGCTACAATGATGTTACCATAAAAAATTATTATTTTAAAAGTTATTGATGTATTCAGAGCATTCTGTGATAATCATCAGCAGAGACAAAGCTCATTTATCTGCAGCCTGTTTGTCTACCTTCAGTTTAGATAGATATTCAAAAGAAAGAAAGAAAGAAGAGTCTTTTTTTTTTTTTTTTTTTTGCACTCTGCGTGTATAAATCCAGCCATTCACTGGGAGCTTGCACTTGGATGACAGACATTGCAAACTCAACATTTGAAAACTAAACTCATTATGTCTGCCTACTGCCAATGTCTACCTGCCATTTCTTTTTGTTAATTTTCTTTATTTCTTTTTATTTTGTTAAATTTCAATGACTATGTGCACATCTACCTGTCATTTCTACAGAGCTGAATTTTTTCATTATATCTCCAGTCATCTCGCCAGACACTTGGGACTTAGTCTTCTTAATTGTCCTTCCCATCGGTCATCATGGCCTGTGATTTTTTTCCCTTCCTAAATATTTTTCGGGTTGGCCTCTTGTTCCCTTCTTCTGCAGATTTTCTCATTTTTGTCCTTGTTATGTTTTACGTGAAGGGGTTCCTTAATTCATCTCTACTTCTTTCCACTCTTCCCCATGCAGCCAGCACTTCCTCTACGCTAGGGGTTCAAACCGGCAACCCTCACGCTGAGTTTATGTAGCAGTTTTTATTTTGTTGTTGTATTTAATAACTTCAGTGTCTTTACAAACTTTCCATTGTGTTTCCCCCAAGATTCCCCATTATTCAAACCAGACCCCAATTTACACATTTGTTACTTGCTAGGTCCTCCAAGGTACTTGAATTTGTGCCCCTTGCTGCACATTCTCTAAAATGAAAATCTACCTAAATTTCTTTAATGACTCACCACGCCCTGAAAGAATGTCCAAATTTCTTATAACTGATACAGTATTCTCATTATCTGTCTCATTAAGTACTTTCCCATCTTTTTTTTTTTTTTTGACATGGAGTCTTGCTCTGTCACCCAGGCTGGAGTGCAGTGGCATGGTCTCAGCTCACTGTAACATCCACTTTCTGGGTTCAAGTGATTCTCCTGCCTCAGCCTCCCCAGTAGCTGGGATTATAGGTGCATACCACCATGCCCAGCTAATTTTATTTTATTTTTTTAGTAGAGACAGGGTTCACCATGTTGGCCAGGCTGGTCTTGAACTCCTGACCTTGTGATCCACCCACATCGGCCTCCCAAAGTGCTGGGATTATAGGTGTGAGCCATGGTGCCCGGCCCTCATCTTTCTTTATAACATATACTTCAGTCATTCCGTATTCAAGGCTTCAAATATACCCTGCTGCTCTGTGACTTTATGTCTTTTTTAAAACTATTTCCTCTGCTTTGTTTCATTCTACTAAGTCCCTCAGCTGGTTGCTCCTAGCCACAAGCCATGAGCATCATTTTCTCTGTAACCCTCTCTCCCAAACAGAATTATTCCTTCCTGCCATTTGCTGCTGCTGCCCCTTAAATATACCATTGCCATTTGATTTAATTGAATTTTTTGTTCCTTGATTTTATATTCATTCATTGGTAATTTATAGGATTGTTGGGAGAATGAAATGAGTTAGTAGAAGTGTTTAGAACAATGTCTGGCACATAGTGTATGCTCTATAAGGTTTGTACTTATATATGCGTGTGCTTGTGTGTGTGTGTATGTGTGTATGTGTGTGTCTGTATGTAATCCATTCAATCATTTATTCCTACAGCAAACTACCGTTGTATATCAGGTATGATGTCAGGCTTTGGAAATGGAAAGATATAACCTGGTCCCAAAATCTCATATCTAGTGGAGAAAACAAGCATATAAAAACATCAGGAAAATAAAGTTGGAAACAGAGTTGTAGCAAAGAACATGGATTGGGTCTAAGGATACAAATTATGGTAAATTTTGATTTTGATTATTTATGTAAGATGAGACATTGCCAGTCAGAGACAGAGAATGATAATAGGCACTCTCATATGCTGTTTATGGTGGTCAAGTGATGTAACACTTTTAGATGGAAATTTTGAAATACTTAAACAATTAAAATATGCATACCTTTTGAAACATGCTTTTTCAAGAACTTACAGAAATATTTGCACATTGAGTAAGAATATAGACAAGGTTGCTCACTGATGTTTTGTTTGGCTTGTAATGCAATGAGGTCAGCTAAATTGTCCATCATTGAATGGTTCATCTGTATGATGAAATACCATACTGATGCTAAAATAGAATTAGGTAACACTACGGATACTAACACAGAACTATGTTTATGATACATTAAGTTATAAAAGCAAGGTACAGAACACTCTCAATTATTATCACTTTTTTTTCCAAAAAAATTGAGATGATATTTGAACATACAAATAGAAAGATATAAAATAATATATGTGTAATTGTTAACTGTGGTCATTTTTTAGTGAGTAGGATTTAGGGAGGACTTTCA